TTCCCTCCCTCTACCCTGAACTTGGCTACACATCTAAATAAATTACTTTAAACCAGTTTTATGAAATTTAGAGGTGAATTTTGTACTGCAGGAACCTACTGAGTCCCTGATAAACAGCCCAAGGGAGTGTTATAGAATCATGGAGTCCCAGAGTGGTTTAGGGTTGGAAGTGACATTAAAGCTCATCTCATTCCAACTCCCTGCCATGGGCAGGGACACCTTCCACCAGCCCAGGCTGCTCCAAGCCCCATCCAGCCTGGCATGGAACACTCCCAGGGATGGAGCAGCCACAGCCTCTGACAACAGCTGATTAGCTCACAGCTCATTCTGTACACCTGGCATCCAGGTAGGCAGCAAAGAGCCAGACGGTGCCATTCAACACACTCTTTGCTGGACAGAGCGAGGGGAAATGGGACATTCCAATCTTACAATGAACAAGTTCTCTCCAAAAGGATGCACAAAGAGGAACAGCAGCTTTTCACAGCTTGAACTAACCCTAAAGAATGCAATTGTCATTTCACACCAATCTGTTTCACCTGCTCATACACCTAGAGAGGAGCTGGAATCCTTTCCAGGGACTTGGGGTGAAAGGGAGGCAGCCAGAACCTACTGTACTGCTGTTTTCCTTTTATTTTCCAGGCAGCTTTTGAGGTCTTCCAGGATTTTGCAGCATGTGGCAATGTCAGGAGCATTCCCATCGAGAATGGGATAGTGGTGCACACATATCCCATGCTGTTTGTAGGTGTCTATCAGGTTTGGCACTCTGTATTTTTGAAGCTCTCCTCTGGTACAAAGCACAAATACATCCTGGATCCCACAGTTCTTCAGTTCTCCTGCCAATGGATTAAGACACTTGCAAATAAACAAAAGCCTATCAAAGCTTAAGGATAAACAGATAAGCTACTTGGTGCTGAGTCTCTTGTTTAATCTTTGAGGGTAAGACAAAAGGAGTGAGCAATACTGCTTGGAGAGGCAATTCCTTCCACTGAGTCTCTCCCACATTTGCCTTCAGGTAATCCAGGAGAGGAACTTTCTCACTTCAGAGGAGTCCTGAGAAGCCTCACAAGGGAGCACATCAGCACTCAGGACAGCCAGTTAGCTACTTAAGTATGTTTCTGTTCCATCTTCAGCTTAGAATCACAGAAACCTAGAATGGTTTAGGTTCAAGGGACATTAAAGCTCATCCAGTTCCACCCCCTGCCATGGGCAGGGACACCTTCCACCAGCCCAGGTTGCTCCAAGCTCCATCCAACCTGGCCTGGAACACTCCCAGGGATGGAGCAGCCACAGCTGCTCTGGGCAACCTGTGCCAGTGCCTCAGCACCCTCACAGTCAGGAATTTCTTCCTAACTTTGACTTGTCTGAACACTGTGGGGATTTGCTGTTAGTCTCTGCTCTTCTAGTTCTTACACAGATGAATCCTCAGCACAAATCTTTACACAATTTCATCTTTTCTATCCCAATCTCACTTTTCTGCAGGAGGAGATGACAAATTTGGAAGCCATCTTGATCCTAGCTGCTATGAAGATGCTTTGTGCTGGACCTCATGGCTACTGCACACACAGCTACAGATGCCTGGAAATACCTATTAGTTACATATTTGCAGAGAAGCCACAGAGGAATTGGCACTGCACACTTACAAGTGATCTCTAGTCTCATAACAGTAACTGTGCTAAGGTATTACTGCAGCTGCATGTTGTTCTTGCCCTTCACATGAGCAAGAAGCACTTGCTCACAGGCCAGAAGACTCACCTACATCTTTCTGCAGATTTCTTCTGACATCCTTAAACCTGCATCCTGAAAGAGATTGTGAATGCAAATTACCTCTCCAGGCAAGTGACACTCATGGCATGGCTACTGCAGCTGAAGAACAGAGCACAGGGAACCTACCCTGGACACCCAAGCAAGCCACAAAGCCACATCTCAAATAAAACAGTTCTTGTTTTTCCAAGCAGATCCCTGGCACAGAAGACAGTTTAAACACCATTATCTGCTTAATACTGCAATGTAATAGGATTAAAAACAGAAATCTGCCCAGGGTTTTAAGCTACTTTACATTTTCCAGATGAAAAGTTTTGGGAATTTGTTGTGGTGTCACCCCAGCAGCAGCAAAGCCACATATAGACATTCCCTCACTGCCCACCAATGGGATGGGGGAGAGGTCAGAAGGGTAAAAGCTATGAAACTCATGGGTTGAGATAAAGACAGTTTAATAGGGAAAGTAAAAGCCACATAAACAAGCTAAGCAAAACAAAGAATTCATTCTCTGCTTCCCATGGGCAGGAGGAGTTTGGCACCTCCAGGAGAGCAGGGCCCAAGCCCATGTAATGGTGACCTGGGAAGACAAATGTAATCACTCCAATTGTCTTCCATTTCTCCTTCTTCCTCTCACTTTATACACTGAGCATGATGTCCTATGGGATGGAATATCCCTTTGGACAGTTTGGGTCACCTGTCCCAGCTGTGTCTCCTCCCAACCTTCCATTCCCCCCAGTGTGGCAGAATGGGAAGCAGCAAAGGCCTTGGCTCTGTGTGAGCTCTGCTAAGCAACAACAAACACATCCTCACTTTGTGACCCCTGTCCTCAGCACAAATCCACAACAAGGCCCCATATCCAGATTGGGAAGAAAGTTAGCTCTTCCCCAGCCCAAACAGCACAACATTTTCCATCGGGACACAGCGTAAACCAAAAGAATCACAGAATCAGTTAGGCTGGAAGGGACCACAATGAGTAATCTGGTCCAACCTCTCTGCTCAAATAACTCCCTAATCAAAACACCCCAACAAATAAAAGGGTTAAGTAAAGATCACTTCAGAGCTGTTTGCTCTTGTGACCACAGGAGATTCCCCATGGCTGCAGGTTTGGTAGTGAAAAACACAGTGAAATCTTATGTTATTTGTTTTACATGTTACAAATGTGATCATGCATTGAGATATTCTCTAGATTAGCTTTGGTGTGTCCAAAACACTTTATTCCAGTGGTAAGTCACAAAACAAGTCACCTCACTTAGCAAACACAACACAGAATTTTGGGGTACAAGGTGTTACCTTCTCTCCAGCTTTCACACATTCCTCAGGGAATGCTTCTTACCTGGAAGGGAGCATAATCCCAGGACCTCCGAGAAGTAGGGAGGAGACAAAGGCAACCTGTCAGAAAATAGAGAAATAATGAATACAGACCAGAAAGTAAGGGATTTGTCATTTAAATATAGAAATATCTGAAGGGCAGGTGAAAGAAAATGGGAACAGATACTTTCAGTGGTGCCCAGGGAAAGGACAGCGGAAAAAGTTCCACCTGGATATGAGGAAAAGCTTCTTTGCTTTGAGGGTGATAAAACCATAGAATCCCAGACTGGTTTGGGTTGGAAAGACCTTAAAGCTCATCTCATCCCCCCCCCAGCCATGGGCAGGGACACCTTCCACCAGCCCAGGTTGCTCCAAGCCCCATCCAACCTGGCCTGGAACACTCCTAGGGATGGAGCAGCCACAGCTTCTCTGAGCAACCTGTGCCAGAGCCTCACACCCTCCCAGGGAAGCACAGAGCCCTGGAACAGGTTGCCCAGAGAGGCTGTGGCTGCTCCTTCCCTGGCGATACTCGAGCCTCGCCTGGACGCCTGGGCAGGGCGTTGGACTCGGAGGTCTCCAGAGCTGCATTCCCACGCCAAACACATTCCCTGGCAGCTCCCAGCACAGTTTCATCCCTTTCCAGGCCACCTGTCGGGCAGGAGGAGGATTTAATACAACCCCGAGAGGTCATTCCTGAGGGAGAATCCCCCGCGGGCGGCGCCTCACCAGG